GCCCCGAGACCTGCACGCGGTCCCGTGGCCAAATTGTAATTAACGAACGCTCGCGCACCCCCAGCGCAGTTTAAGTGGTTTTACAGCATCCCTGGGAGCTTCTCCACTTCCGGCGGTTTCTGATTTGGCGTGAGCCACCCGAGCGTTGTGGGCTGGGACCGTGAGATGGAGGAGAGGAGCCTTTGCGATTAAAAGAATTAGTGAGATTTCAAGGAAGAAAATGATTTCTTCTGCCAGCCTCGGTGGTAACTTAAAGAGCAGCTTTAGAAGTGGGAAATGGACCTCCGTTCGCTTGCTGTGCCTGAAATATTTCTCGTGTATTTTTATTACTTCTCCTCGAAGCAGCAGCTCTCTCCTCTGCGTGCGGGAGGTTGTGCCCCGTAAAGGAAAGGGCAGTGGTGGTTGTGGGGTGGGGGTTGCTGGGACGAGGCGGCTGCGGGACGGGACAGGACGGGACGGGACGGGACGGAGGCGTTGGTGGAAGGAGCCGCTGGCCGGAGAGTGCTGGGTTTGTTCGTCCTCCACTCGTCATTCCCGTCCTCCGCTCGTCATCTTCACTCGTTAGTGTATATAGGGGCTATTTATATATATATATATATATTTCTAAATTCACCTTAAACCTATTTTTCTCAGAGCTTTTGGGTCTGCGTATAACTTGTTGATCATTAAGTGTGCACCTTCTAAAACGATTTAATTATTGGTACAGATAAAATCAATCCAAGGTACTGGGCAGAGGGAGGAAGGTTCTGGAAGGGCGGAATTCCCCGGGGACCCGCGTCACTGGGCGAGGGGTGAGAACCAAATGACTTCTTATGGCTTTTTCAGTTCAGGATAAAATACTGTTTCATACTCGTTGCCATTTTCTCTAAGCAGGTAAAACTGTGTTTTCAGCCTGAAAAAACCACCCCAAGAAGTGCTGGAGGGTGTTTCTCACTTCGGCATTTTCCCCGTGAGGCTCACGGGGGAGGAGGAGGTCACTGTTCTTTAACTTCTGTCCCGTCTCTGTTTCGGTCTTTGCCTTTCGTATCCAAACCCGGTTTTGACGGTGTTTGACATTTAGATGAGCAGCTTCAGTTGGAATGTAAAGTTTTGTAGAAACCTTTTTCTTGATTTGGTATTTTGTAAACCTTTTCTTTAACTCAACCCGAGTACCGGCGCTGGATCGGTTTGGCAGTGCTCCAGACGGTCGTCTCGTGTATATATATGTGTGTGTGCATACACGTGTACATGCATACATACATGTATATACATGGAGGGGGTAATATGTATTATTGCACATTAACTATCCGTGGTTCTAATGATATTTTTACTATAGGCTGTGTCCACTCAGACGAACAGAAACTTCCCTTTTAGGCTCTGATTTCCCTGACTCGGCAGAACACCATCGTTCCACCAGTTAATTTGCACTTGGCATATCTAAAGCAATCAGAATATTAAATATTCTTTGCCACCTTATCTTGGTCCGCGGTCTGTTGAATTGGAGCTTCTGGAGTTGCTTCTCCGGCGCTTTCTCCGTAACCCCCATCGGTTTCTTTCCCGTTCGGCCTCAGGCTGCGGTTCCCACCGGCGGCGTTTGGCTGTGTGACTGTTAGCACAAACCTCTTCCTTCGGTCCCCCCCAAAACCCGCCGGGTGCCACCTTAGGCTAAAGGACCCGAAACACGTGTTTAACCTAAAAATAAACCAAAACAGGTTTCTGGGTTTGGGGTTTTGTTTTTTTGATTTTTTTTTTTTTTTTAAATAATCACTTCTCTCCAGGAGAAGGGGAGGCCGAGTGAGGGCAGCGGTGCCGGGCAGAGCCCGGGAGCTGTCAGGTTCATCCAGGCGTCTCCAAAGGGCAACCGAGCTCCGGCCGGGGCGGCTGCGGGACGTGCCCCCGCTCCGAGCGTGGGCTCTTTGCGCCAGCCGCTCCTTTGGGGAGAAAACCGTGGAGACGGCCACCTCTGCGGTCCATGTCAGACACAAGGCAGAGCTGGAGTGGGGCTGGGGGGGTGGGAGGTGACACCTCCCTGGGTCCCCGCGACCGGGAGATCCGTCCAGCGCACCGGTCCGAGCTGGGGGAAGGCGCCGCGGCCGGGGGCGGAGTGGGGATGGGGCGTTAACGTATTTGGAGATGGGTTTTGCAGCACTGGGTACCCGAACAGGAGCAGTTTTCAGCATAGCTCTGCACCTGCTTTGCTCCGCTCTTCTGAAAACGCAGTCCTTCTGTTTCGGGGCTCCGGGATCGGAGTTTCTCTGGAAATCTGCCGCTGACCTGTTGAGCAGTCGGGAGACGCAGGTGCCCCCGCGCGGGTCC